GAAACTTCACATTCTTTCTTCAGGGCACTATAAAAGAACAAGAGATCTTTGTGATGTACTCGATACACTGACAGTGCCATAATCAGTTCCATTAGGCTACATCGCCGTTCCAAAACATGGGTATACAGAATGTCAAGTCACAAGAATAAAAATGCGAAATTTCTCAGTTCAATATCGTGTATGGCCGCCCCGCGCATTCACCACTGCCAAACACCGTCTCCTCATCGACTGCCTGATGCTTGTGAACACGTGGTTGGGGATTCTGCGCCATTGCTCTTGCAAGGCAGCGCCAAGTTCCTGCAAATTCTGAGGTTGGTTCCTAAGACCACGAAGCCTTCTCCCAAGTGCATCCCAAACGTGCTGTATTGGATTAAGGTCAAGGGACCTCGATGGCCAGTCCATGACGTTGAATCCAGCGTTTTAAAGGAAATTTCGTGTCAACATCGCGGTATGCGGCCGAGCATTATCATGCTGGAACTGTAGACCTGGGCCATGAGCCGCCATGAAAGGAGCGAGTTCAGGGGTGAGCACCTGGTCGCGGTAAGCAGCAGCTGTGAGGTTTCCACGGATGACCAGAAGTCGGGAACGGTTGTTCCCACAGAAAGCACCCCACACCATGCAACTTCCGCCCCCGAATCTGTCGAATTCCTGTACACAACATTGGGCATACCGTTCACGACGTCGTCTCCAGACTCTATGCCTGCCGTCCGCGAATCTGAGGGTAAACCTGGATTCATCGCTAAAGACGACTCGATTCCAGTCTCTCTGGGTCCATCGGAGGTGACGTTGGGCCCACAGCAGACGTTGACGTTGATGAAACGGCGTCAATATTGGCCCACGATATGGACGTCGAGAATGGAGATTGGCAGCCCGCAACCGATTTCGAATGGTCTGTGAGGACAGTCGACCTCTTAACATCTCAGCCCTGGTTCGTGTAGCCGGCAGAAATCTGTCACGTAGGTGACGTAGGGCGATTTGACGGTCTTCTGCTCGTGACGTCACATGTGGACGACCCGACCGTGGGCTATCAGAAGTGGTGCCAGTTTGTTGTAGACGACCTCGCAAGTCATACACACTACGACGGCTGCATCCCATTGCTCTTGCGACGTCAATAACTGATCTTCCCGCTTGCAACATGCCAACGGCACGTTCACGTTGCACATTTGACAATTGTGGCATTTCAAGTACCTTTAGAACTGTGGTTTAAAAGTGTTTTTTCAATTCTTGAGGCCAATGCAAACACGTGCATATGAAGACAACTTCGATGTGAAGATCACGTGATCGACTGCACGTGCAAAACCTGATTTGGCACTAACGTCATTTGCACGACGAATGGATGGGTTTGAGTGGGTTTTCTAGAGTCGAAAGATAGGGATCCCATTTCGGATACATAGATGTATCATCAGAGAAAAATTATTCATTATTTTTCAAATTACATTTTGTAAAATTTCTTTTTTGACTCAGTATATATATATAATAATGCAATGAAAAATGCCAGAATTATGTTACCTAAGAATGTGTACATGTACAAAGTGGCAGTAAAAGCATCAGCTAGCTTTTCTGTGAAGTTGCACGATTTCTCTGTAAATGTCCCTTTAGATGTTTCAATTTACATTTTGTTCATGTTCTGTGTCATCACGGGAACAGCTATACTTATTTCTGTTTCATGACATCGTTTCATGCGGTAACAGGTATGACTGGGACCTGTCTCACTTACACATGGCGCCTTCTGCTGTCACTTCACGATAGTGCGTACAGCACGCTATGACAGTAAACCGTACTACAGACATTATATCCGGTAGCAATAACAACCCTGATCTCAGTCAAGTTTCATATGTCTTCCTGGAAACTCAAGAAACAAGTGTGTCAAGGCCTCTCACAAAAATGCAGGGTACGTACGATTCCTTTACATTCATAGAATAAACCTCTTGAACAATATTTACAATATGCGCAAAACGATAATGCGGTAGATCGTTTCCTAAGGATTCTCCCAAGGATGCGTACTTTCTTGGAGAAAAACCTATATATGTTCAGTTTACGTGTCTGTTTTGCATTTCAGACACCAGCAGAAAACAGATAACGCAAACTGAACATCTGTTATGGGGCACCACCATCCTCACGACATTGTCCTCCATCTTATCCCACACACTAGCTCCCAGAAACCAATGACACAGGAGACAGACCGTTGGCAGATATGACACTGTTCTCCACCTTGTTCCACACACTGGCATCCCAGAAACCAGTGACACAGGAGACAGACCGTTGGCAGACATGACACTGTCCTCCACCTTGTTCCACACACTGGCTCCCAGAAACCGACAGACGAGTCAGACCCTTGACAGACATGACACTGTCCACCACCTCGTTCCACACACTGGCTCCCACAAACCAGTGACACAGGAGACAGACCGTTGACAGACATGACACTGTCCTCCACCTTGTTTCACACACTGGCTCCCAAAAAACCAAAGCCGACAGACGAGTCAGACCCTTGACAGACATGACACTGTCCACCACCTCGTTCCACACACTGGCTTCCAGAAACCAGTGACACAGGAGACAGACCCTTGACAGACATGACACTGTCCTCCACCTTGTTCCACACACTGGTTCCCAGAAACCAGTGACACAGGAGACAGACCTTGACAGACATGACACTGTTCTCCACCTTGTTCCACACACTGGCTCCCAAAAACCGACAGACGAGTCAGACCCTTGACAGACATGACACTGTCCACCACCTCGTTCCACACACTGGCTCCCACAAACCAGTGACACAGGAGACAGACCCTTGACAGACATGACACTGTGACACCGACAGTCCTCATGACCTGTCCACCACCTGGCTTCCAGAAACCAGTGACACAGGAGACAGACCCTTGACAGATATGACACTGTCCTCCACCTTGTTCCACACTGGCTCCGAGAAACCAGTGACACAGGAGACAGACCGTTGGCAGACATGACACTGTCCACCACCTCGTTCCACACACTGGCTCCCAGAAACCGACAGACGAGTCAGACCCTTGACAGACATGACACTGTCCTCCACCTTGTTCCACCACCTCGTTCCACACACTGGCTCCCACCTCGTTCCACACACTGGCTCCCAGAAACCGACAGACGAGTCAGACAGAAACCAGTGACACAGGAGACAGACCGTTGGCAGACATGACACTGTCCACCACCTCGTTCCACACACTGGCTCCCAGAAACCGACAGACGAGTCAGACCCTTGACAGACTTGACACTGTCCACCACCTCGTTCCACACACTGGCTGCCAGAAACCGACCAAGGAGGTAGATCCTTGATAATTTTTATGGCACTTCTAGGAAACCGTTTACAGACCTCCCACTATCTCTTTTTCCAAAGCCACCTGGCTCACGCATACCCGACAGGAACATCTGTAGCTCTGCTTCAGCGTTGTGAGTTCATGTGTCTAGATGAACGGGATGTCATGTGTAAGGGTAGACAACTCTTGTAGACTTCATTGCATTAACATGCCGTTTGTTTTCATCTTTTCCGATATTACGTACGAGATTTTCATCTATTTGTGTTTGCTAAGTAATTGCCTTCCACCGAAGTTGGAATAGGGCAATGCTATTTACTGTCCTGTTAAGTTTTAAGGAAAATGATCTGGATGAGATTTTACGTTCCGACACTACATTGGATGGTGTACATCCGGGTCATAATGGCAGCTGATATGCGGTAAAAACAAACGTGAGTTTTGTGCCAATGTGGTCATGAAATAGATATGAAACTGTTCGCTTATGTGATTGTATATGTATGTTATGCCATCTATGATTGTTAATAAATGAAAACAAGTATGTATTGTTAGTATTTTTTATTTCTGTGAATATTTTTACATACGATGAAGATAACTAGATCTACCATTTCTGATATGCATGCAACAGTATGACGATCATGACATTTAGTAAACATTGATATTTTCACACAAATACATTAATCCGACATTTTCATTAATCCGACATTTTCGTTAATCCGAAATATTTCTCTGCAACCACAAGTGTCGGATTAACGAGAGTTGACTGTATATGGATCTACAGGGTGCAGGATGGTAAGTAACAAAATGTTTGATTAACGTAGTGCTGTCTCAGCAAGGGATTGATGGGAACAGTAACCTTAATGTGTTTTGAGAGCACCAGAGTAGACATCTTGTGTTACCTGGTCATGTGCGTCAACAGGCGTTCTCAATGTATATATGCCATGCTTGCAGATAGAGGAAAAAAGAGTAGAAATAGCGCTTCTTGGCAATATAGAGACTTGACTTGTCCAGTATGTATACATGTCCAGCTTGCTTAGATGTGTGTTCACGCCTTGTACTCTCTGAGTGAGTGAGTTCAGTTTTACGCCGCGCTCAGCCATATTCCAGCTATATGGCGGCGGTCTGTAAATAATCGTGTCTGGACCAGACAATCCAGTGATCAATAGCATGAGCATCGATCTGCGCAATTGGGATACGATGCATGTGTCAACCAAGTCAGCGGGCCTGACCACCCGATCCCGTTAGTTGCCTCTTACGACAAGCATGGATTACTGAGGATCAATTCTAACCCGGATCTTCACGAGTCCATGATGCACGAAACAGGACATAGTCGACTGAACATGATGGCACATACATGTATGTAGCCTACTCTTGTATGATGAATGGATGAATATAAGCAAATCTTAGACAGCTTTGACCACCTGATCCCGTTAGTCGACTCTTACGACAAACATGGGTTACTGAAGATCAATATTCTAACCCGGTTTGTACTCTCTGACCGTACAAGGACTAACGAGTTCGAATTCTCACTTAGCGAAGTGTTCAAGAGAAATTTGCTTTTCAAATAACAAGAACTACAGAAAAGTTTATGTAACATTTAATGAAAACATATCATAATACGATTATAATATGAATGTTGAAATTCGAAACGAATGCCTGTGAGGTTGGATACACATTTGGCATAGGACAACTAACACATTCCACGTTTATATTATTTACATGCATTACCGATTCCTCCAATACCAGATGAATAGTACAGTCGAAATGAGGCTGTAGTTTCAATGTACAAGAGCAGGGTGTCAAAGCGAGCTTAATGAGATGACAAACATACTCTAAAACTACTTATATAGGTAGGTATAGATTATGTGGAAGCGGGGAGATGGGCATGTACGAGAGGAGGGCATGTCTAGGGGTGAGTGGGGAAATCTCGCGAGGTTAGTGGGAGAGTGATCTCTTTGACATGGCACTTGTGAAAAGAATGTGGCATTTTCCGACGAGCCTCTACACAAACTTTCAATGCATAACGTCATGTTATTCGTCAATGAGGTCCACATGATGAGTGTGTAAGTGAGTTTGGTTTAACGCCGTTTTGAACAGTATTCCGCTTTGTCCGGGTGATATGGAATGAAGCCCGCAATGCTGTAGGCCAGAGATGTTCAACCGCCACCTACAATATCATGGTGACAATATTGTGGTGACAAACCTGAAAACACCATCGGGTAGAATCGGGATTCAAACCTGCAACCAGTTCCTCTAATCATAGAGGTTTGCAGAAGCATTTTCGTATATTGGAACATGATATAGGTACCAACAAGTCTTTAATGCAGTAACACTTTCCTTTGAGATATAGATACAAACAACGTACACATGGTGTTATAAAACATCTTGCGTAATCCATACTTCAACTGAGGTTGAAAATATTGACTCTTGTCACTCTGTAACACTCTGTTTTATTTGGGATTACACTTTCTTAGTAACATGTAGTAACTCTGTAGGTCTAGGTATCTTTTGGTCATGTCAGAAGGGGGAAAACCCCGTCGCCCTTATTGATGGCAAGGAGTCGTGCATCGATATCCGTATCTGTTAGTATCTCACTAGGAGGGATGAAGTCTTCTTTGGAATAATTCCGCTGAGTAACATTTGCATTGTCTTGGCAGTTGAATGTAAGCGGGTCCTCCTGTGCGTTGATATTCTGTAACATGGTCACAATGACATCGGTAGGGGTGTCAGTTGCGACCACACTCGGGGCAATCATGTCCTGTGGATGTATTACAACAGAGTTGCAAGTTATGACACTTTGCAGTTCGTTATTATAACCTGTATTATGACCAGCAGTTGTCCTTGGATCTGTATCAACCACATTTGCTTTCAGAGAGACTGACTCCCACGTCTGCTCTGGATCATGTTCTGATTCGTGTACTGAGTGTTGTCGACAGAACCTCTTCTCAAACCAGTGTGGGTCAGATTTCTCGAAACGTCTTGCTTTTTCAATCGCTTTCCGTAAATGTCGGCCAATCCTAGTGGCTTGCAGGTCCACAATAGCGTCTATATCTGGATGTCTGCGAGTCTGGTCAAACACATCAACTTCATGGATGTGACACAATAGGTCCTTGAAATGTTTGGGCAGCTTATAATGGACACCAGGACTCACTTCCTTCAAGACAAAATCCTCACTGGTGTAGTCAAAGTATACAAGGATGGTTTTCCTGTAGAAATCAGGCTCGAGGGACTTCGTCCTAACATGGGTTATGGCTGGGGAGAAGATGTCACCCTCTGGACCTTCATCTTCTGTCTTCAAAGACGTGTTTGTGTTCCGTGCATCGAGGAGTTTGAACGCTGCCTCTGAGCTGATGACAATCACGTAGTCTGCCTCGTCAATGTGTGATATGATCCACTGGTATGTACCTATAGCGTGGAAGTCTCTCTTCAACCAAGGAAAATAGAACAGCTCGCAGCAACACTGGTTTTTCAGATATATGGCCAACCTGGAGATGACATTTAAGTGATCTTTATGATCCTCAGCATACAGCAAGTACACCTTCTTCCTTGAAAGAACTGAAACACAGTTTTCATGAATAGAAATACATTCAGACATTCAGACATTCATATATTCATATGGCATATCTCACCATTGTTCGGGAACATCTAGGATTGACATCTTTCAGCCGGTTGAAATCCAATATCAGGATTGCATCTTAACGAAAATGTCTCCACGGACGATTTGACTCTAGGTCCTGAATCCATTGAAAATTGACTGCGCATGCTGTTGCAAACTAACACCACTGATCAAAATAATATAAAAAGTGACGTCATAACATGATCCGTTTAACTGTAATCACTTCTCCCTTAAGATAAAAGTGAAACATGTTGGAGAAGATCTGTGTCGTTGTTAAGGTCGAGATTTGGGTGGTAAAATATTGAAGTTGATTCGTTTAGGAAGAAACATCCGATTGGCACAAGAACCTACATTACATCATGCCTTTGGGAAAACCGGATGTTCGCACAAGGCTCAACTGACACATACCGTATGTCACATATCGTAGTACACAACCTCATTCTTATTAACAGGTGTATGGCGAAGGAAACATACAACTTCTGGATTATTTGTGTTGAGCGACGTTTCGATGTAGATTCTTACATTGTTATCAAGTGATTACAACCAAATGGTGAAGAGCATATATACATGGTATGTTGTGACAAGCAGCAGATTAACATTAACAACAACATGTAATAGAATAACAAGTGGTATATAATTGGAAGAGGCCAGTAGGGAACTATAAACAACAAATAGCACTAGTGATGAAGCCAATAAACAGGGGAAATAAGTAGTAACAACAAATAGACAGGGTGCTATTGATGATCTATAGTTTGATTAGTTCTTCATAGGCTGGTGGGATGTGGTATCCTAGGTCACGGTTGATCAAAGGTTTGTGGCGGCGGATTTCGATTCAGGATTCAGTATTTTATTCTCATAAATCATACAAAATGATATCGAGAACATATCTAACTGTGCTGTTCAGGGTGAACTTGGTTGGAGGACTTGTCTCAATAAACAGCGGATAGAGAGTTTCCGTTGTTATGTCAAGTTGTATCATGTCAGAGGACAGGCTTACCGATAAGGTGTTTAGGTGGTCCATGAATCGGAAAGGTTCTTTTGCTTTTAACCTTGTTAAATTGGGTAGACAGTTGCTGTTGTATGATACTTTGTTATCGCCTACGTCTGGTATCAATTCCAACAATGTCATTAAACAATGTTTGTGTAGATTAGATGAGAAAAAGTGGTTTTCAGAGCTTTGGGGCGACGTAGGCAAGGCTAACGGTAATAATTTACGCACTTACATGTTGTTTAAAAAAAATTGTAGACCAGAACTGTATGTAAGATATATTATGTCTGGACATAGGCGAAGTAATCTAAGTAAATTACGCTGTGGTATCTTACCTCTTAATATTGAAATTGGACGTTATAGCAAACCTCCACACCCATAAATCAAAGATTATGCCCCTATTGTGATTCTGTAGAGTCTGAAGCCCATTTTCTTTGAAATTGTGCTTTTTACCATGATCTTAAAGGCAACTTTATAGATGAATTTAGTTTTAGCCTAGCTGATTATTTGAAATTTATTATGGTAATGAATACTACTGAAATCAAGGTTCTTAAACTTGTAGCTGATACTGTTAATGTTCCGTACAAGGCAGTTACATTCTTAATATATTTTACCTATGTACTATTTTATATACGTCATGAACACAATCGTCCAGATTGTATATTGTACATTTTTTTAGTTAATTTATGTTAGTACTGTCTCATAAGCCAGTGTTATGGCTGGGTGATATGTGTTATCTAGACATATGAAATATAGTTTTACCTGTAACATATCATGTGACACTTTAATAAAGTATTTCTGTCAGTCTGTTTGTCTGTAATCTCTCCGATAGTAAGGAAGTGAAAACTTTGCCCAAGCAGCTTACAATTGTTATACCTCTGCAACTATTGGGATTTGATGGACACCCTTTATTCTTACAGATTGGTCTGATGTAACCGAGTAGCCAAGATTCAGGTAGAACTCCATAATCAAACACATAATTAAACAATCTAACATATACAGGTATGAGAGTATCAAGCGTTGCTTTGATATATTCATTGTGTACACCGTCAGTACCACAAGTAGTATACACAATGGGGGTACGGGACCAGGTACCCCCAAAGGCTCAATTTAAACAATTGAGCCCTTGGGAAGTCCCTAATCCCGTAGCCCCATTGTGTATACTACTACTGAGGTGCATGCAAAATTTGATGAAATCGGTCAAATAGTTTCTGAAATATTGACGGGCGGGATCGGGAGGGAAAAGGCAAAATGTCCAACTTTTTGTCGTAATTAAGTCTTAATTATTCTAATGAAGTCATCGAGAGTGTTCCCAATGTCGTTTTGCTAAAGCGTAACCATCTGCCGAGATGCATGCAAATTTTCACGAAAATCTGTCAAATTGTTTAGGAAAAAATCACTTTTTAGTGAGCATGGGGTCGGTCTGGCGAAAAGATAACAATCCAACGTATTGTCGTACATGTTATATATTATCGAGGCGAGAGGTGTTTTAAGCTGAATGAAACGCAGGTCTCCACAGTCATCACCTCGCTACCGTCTCGGGGGTTGGTTTGAGTGAGCTCTGTGGACGAGTATAAGTGTGTGTCGCGTGTGCCTCTCGGCTCGGCTATGATGATGCACGGCCGGCTGAATAGTAAATCTACAGAAAGCGAATGAAACGCATCTCTCGGCAGTTTTTCTCCCCCCGGTCGTCGTCTCAGTATCAGTGAGATCAGTATGGGCGAGTCGCAGTGTTTGGCTCTGCTTGGCTTGTGCAGCCAAATGGCTGGCAACGTTGTAAACTCTGTCAAAAAAGAAACGCAACCCCTGTATTTTAGAGATTTTGATCTGAAGTTTTAGGACGACACGGCATTTTTATTATTTAAGACAGAAGTCTGAAATTTGGCAGAATAATAACCCAGATGGGCATGTTTAAAATTGTCATTTCAAAAGTCATCTCACAGACACCAGTTGGTCACCAGGGGGGCGTCTTTCTCAGTATCTCGTATGAGCACCACGCGCTGCAATCACTGCAAGGCATCTCCTTGGACAAGAACGGATAAGACGCCGGATTCTTTCCTGGGGAATGGCTCTCCACTCCTCCTGCAGTGCAACGGCGAGCTGTTGCAGCGTCTGTGGCGGCGGCTGACGTTGACGTACGCGTCGATCCAGAGTATCCCACAGGTGTTCAATAGGGTTGAGGTCTGGTGATTTAGAGGGTCATGGCAAGACATTGACGTTGGAATTCTGCAGAAAGTTCATTGTTGCACGTGCAGTATGAGGCCGGGCGTTGTCCCGTTGAAAAATCTGTGTCTGTTGGTCAATAATCGGGAGAAGGTGAAGCTCTAACACGTGGTTGATGTACCAAAGTCGGGATATCGTTGTTTTGTGAACATTTAGGTGCCGTGCAACAGTTCCAAAACTTTCTCCGGCTTGAACACGACCAATGGCGATATTTCGGTCGGCAGCACTCAATCGTGGCATTTTTAACACAGCTTTTCGGCGACAAATGAATGAATATAATCCGGAAGCACATGGGCTTTTATACACCCCTACATTCACTGCCATTTTCATGATTTGCATGTGTTTTTTTTGTGCGAAGTCACCATGAGGGTCATTTCATGCGTTGTGACGGAATAAGCAATAAAATACACTTATGCGTACAAATGCAGTTGTTTGGATGGTAATCTTCATTAATTACGTGTATCATTTCAATACATTCGAATAAAATTTAGTTTGGAAGCAATAACTTCATTCAAACGAATTTTTCATATCTGAGGACAGGGGTTGCGTTTCTTTTTTGACAGAGTTTATTTATTTCCACTAAATCATACCGCATCTCTCAACAGTTCCCCCAGATTGACTCGCTGCCGTCTCGTTAGCACTGAGTGAGCGCTGTGGGCGAGTCGCAGTGTGTGTGTCTCGGCTGGGCTAATTACCTACAGCTCACTGAGATGGCTGGCTACGTTATGTTGATGTTCACGAAACAGTTTATTGTGAATCTCCTATGATTTGTTTGTTTGTCAAATGTAGGCTTGTCAGGCCTGTTGCTTCTCCTGTTCTATGAAAAACAAATTCTCGTCTTCGCAAATGACGGCGTTTTTACGAGACTTGGTCCGAATCTCTTGTTGTATTCTGTGATATTTTGTGATTTCTGATAGCACCAAACGAAACTCTTCTTCGGAGATTTTAGAGTTGGTGAGCGCGGTGGAAATATGATCCACTATTGTGGTTAACTTCGCTTCGGCTAGAATTCTAATTTCGTTGTGTTTCAATGCTTTACGTTGCAGTCAAATGTACTTAAGGGTCAATCCCATCAACCCTGCCACTCCAGCTGTTATTTCGATGCCTAGCACCATGGGTGCGGCCACGATGGTGGATAATAACCTGATACCTGCGATGCCTAATCCCATGCTGACTGAAACCAGAGCGCTGTCCACACTGTCCATGGAATTGGCGGCCCTGTGATATTTTTTCTGTAATGCCGACAACGTATCGCATTCACGTTCTAGTTTTTGTTTGATCACGCATATCTGTCTCAAATGAAACCCGTCCACGGTTTCCAGTGTTTTCGCCACTTCATCCACGACTGGGTACAGTCCTGTTCTGTATATACCCTGTTATGAAATGATATCTAATTGGTCCTCCGTCAATCGTCCTCGAATATACCTTAAGCTAATAAAATGAAAATGTTCGGATAAAAAAATGGCCTCGAATGTAATGGTGTATCCATCCTGAATAACCTGGACTCTATCGAGGTTTGTGGTGGGGACTGTTCCTGGTTTTACGTAAATACACAGCGTTGATTTTCATGGTGTTTATACCAACGTATGTATAACACATCCAGAAGTTGCACCTTTTGTGCGGGGGCATCTCTAAGAAAAACTTTGATAATAAGGGTAGAACCCTGTATCGTATGTCTCCATAAGTCTGGGGCTTTGAGAAGTTTTTTAAATACATCCATTGTTTTCCGTATTCCGGACGGGCGACTAGCATGTTAGCCGTTGGATCTGGTAATGGGGTTGCGTAAATTCCATTTTTCTCGATCAGAATAAAACTGTCCAGTAGAACCCCCTTTGTATTTTAGTTCGAGGACATTACGATCCTCATCCGTGATGAGATATCCTGTCTTCCACGGTCACAGTGACTCCCTGCAGACTGGTGTAACCCAAAGCCGTGAGAACGCTGGCGATGGTTATTCCTTGATCCTGGAACAGAATTCGGATCCTGTCGGCTAGCGTGGTGTCCTCGTTCAAGACTCGGTCGATGGTTTCGCACACGCGGCTGATTTGCAATCGGAGGGCTTCCCATTTGGAGGAAGCGGCTTCCAATAGGGTCCGTCTCTCGTCTTCCAGGTCACGCAATCTTTTTGCGATGATGTTTTTCGTGGCTTCGTCGTCGTCCACGATCCTGAGTTTTCTTTCCTCGCGAGCGATGTGCTCGTCGATTTCGTTCAGTTTACCCATGTTGTTCACGAGTTTTCCGTGCACGTTTTCCAAGGCTTCATCTAGACCCCGAAGTTCCCTTAGAGGAAATTTGAAAGCGGGCAAGTGTTTGTTGGAGTATGTGACCAATATTTTTGCAATTTCTTCAGACGCTTCTTTGGCGTGCTGGGTCATTTCTCTCGGATCGGCGCCATCATCACTGAGTTCATGTTGCAGATCTTGGACGACCTTCGGTGGAAGTTGTTTGGGTCGTGCGCCATTGTAATCTCGTAGGTTTAGTTCATCGAGGATCAGTTGACTACCGTCACGGCGACTGGCTAGCATCGACAGGGCGAGTGGTTTTCTCGTGTGTTTGTTCATGAGATCAACCTCCGGATGAGCTTTCAGTCGCAGCGTCCCTTAATGGTCAATTTTGAATTTAGGATAGTCACGACCCAATGGTTCGACGTAATTCTTATCTCGCTTTAAAGCATCGTAATACTCGTCCACAGCCTGCTTTGAAAGTCCGTTGCCCACGGTGTCCCCCATGAACGAGGTGTCCATGGCTGCTGCATCATTGTCGTTCATCTGGTGTACGTCGAAATCGTCCATGGGATTATCATCAGACATTTTTTTTATTAAACTAATAATATACATAGTTTCAATTTAAACAATGTCGCATTACGGACGAAAGATAGATCCTTTCCGAAGATCGAGAGAACTGCTCGGTGGCAAAGCTGTGCGTCAGTCGGTGACCATCATCAACAATCCGAGCACGATCGATCAAAACCAAACGCTGCTGGTTCGATTCCCCAATCTGGGCGAGAACGACGTCATCGTCCCCGGCACGGCTCGACTGGCTTTTCACATCACGTTGGAGTCCACGACCGACAAACGCAGTATCGTGAAAAACCTGGGTCGCGCCATCGTCAAGAAAACCACCATCAAAATAAGCGGGAACGAGGTGCTGAGCATCGACGACAGTGACGTGTTTACTGTTACATGGACCTATGGAGAACCCCGAATGAACGCGATGACATGTTGTATCAAGGAATTTGTGGTGATAACGACCAATCAAACAACCTACATGTGGGGTACGGTTTCACGCAAGACCAGCTCGGCAATATAACGACAGGAGACAAAGCCGTCGCCGAGGCGTATGGGAATCGGATTTGCATACTGCTCGACTTCGAGCTGCTCGAGGGGCACATGCCGTTTTACCAGGCCGCGCTAGGCGACCGGCTGGAATACGAACTCACGTTAAACGATTACGACAAAGTTATCTTCACAGTGGACGGCACCGAGGCCAGCTACGTCGTCGACAACATCTCTCAGGAGTTCAACATGGTCACGAGCTCGGAACTGACCCAGCAGATTCGCCAACAGTACTCGGGAAATCTGTCCATCCTGTACGACCGCATATTGCGGCACCGGACGATCGTCAAGGACAAGAGCGATACGCTGTGGAACATCAACCTAAACGTGCCGGCTCGATCGATGAAAGGCATCTTGATCATTCTAGTGGCGGAATACGAGCCGTTTCAAAGAGAAAGCGAACTCACTTGGAATCTCACTGGGTCGCCCTGTTTCACTGCAAGGACAGTGATTCGTTCGAGGACTGCTTCCGAGAAAACGACGTGATCCTGAGCAAATGAGAACGAGTGAAGAAACAGCTCGCCAAACTCCTGTTGAAACCCGACCAACCTGTTGCGTATAAAGTCTGCTAGCTTAAAAGCAAAATTTTAGCAAAATTCTAGCATATCTCAGGCAAAAACGATTTTTGAAACTATCGTTGTGTGCATCTTGACTTTCATCTCGCTGTGTTTCGCGTACGTCGTATTTTATTTTATTAAACTTAAAAAAACGTTTGTTACATTATAAGATGGAGTGTGACGAACTGTTCAAACAAATGTTGGATGATGATAATAATAATAAAAACGACAAGCGAGAGAGACTGGTGGCGCTCGCGGTCAGCGGCAAAGCCAAACAATACTTGGGTGGGGGAGGCGACCACACTCCCGATAAAATTCACAAAACGCCAGCCGAAGAAATCGACAAGCTGTACGCGAGATACAAAGCCAGACTCAGCGCCGAAATGACGAAAACCATAGGGTCTGTCATAACCCAGGTCTACACCGGCGTAGCGTCGTACTTCCTTTCCATTCTGCCGGAACGTCGACATTACCTGTGGGAAGTTTTCGAGAAAGATCCATTCATCGACCACGCTTTGCGCGCCGTTAGCTGCATGCTGTATCACAGATACGGCATGTTTTGGCCCCGGTGACCGCGGCGATCATCACGGCAAAGCATTGTCAATTTAAAGAAGAAGAAAATAATAATGATAATAATATACAACATGGATGAGCAACAGGAGGAGGAAACACCGACGGAGGAAGCAACAACACAACTAGACCACCTAAAAAAGTTGCCGCCGGTAGAATAGGTGGTTTAGCCAAGCACAACAAAAATAATACCCATTACACTCCCTGGATTGTTGCCACCGTGGCAACCGGATTAAGCGTGGTCGTCGTTATGCTGCTATAATAACAAGCCACCACCACTGCAACAGCAGACGACGCAATTAGAAATAAATCCGCATGTTATGTTATAATGTTTGTTAATATATATATATATATATGTATATATATATATATATACATATACATATACTTTTTATACACACGATGTCGTCCGAAGGAAAAACATTCGTCAACGATCCATATCACGCCGCCGTGGTCGCCGGACCAACCGTAGGTTACGCTCGCTTAACGAAAATGGTTCTCAAACAGCCGACGATTAAACTCGATTTCAACGTGCAGGACATGGACTTAGGGATGGCGATGGTCACCAAACATATTCTCGTGAAACAAGGCATTATACCGGAAAATATTTTGAAGTAATATTAAAAAACACATAATATAAAAAAGAATGGCTACGATCGGTAACATGGTTCGAACCTCCATAACTTTGATTCGTTGCCATTTCTTGTATTTTGTCGATTGAGGGTGACGAAGTATTTTCATCTGACTTTTTAGGGATTTTTACAGTGTTGTTTGGACTCCCATCGCTTTTCTTCTCACTTATCGATCCTTTGGGAGGTTGCTTAGTGGAGGGTGGATTACGGCCATTGGCCTGGAGAATGGTCCTGAGGGTTGGAGAGCCAGAGAAGACGGTGTCGATACCTGCTTGGTGCTTGAGAAGTCTGCTATTTTGATGAGAGGTCTTGCCAATAAAAGGAGTGATTTACAAGATTAACTGTGAATGTGGTGATTCTTATATAGGTGAAACCTCCCGTCCCGCTGGCGCCCGCATAAAAGAACATAAAACCTCTACAGCTAAGGCAGATAGCAAATCAGCCCTCTCTGATCACCAGCAAAAGTTCCCCACCCTTCAAATCAAGTTTGACGAATTCGAGGTCCTATCAACCAATAATCAGGACTACACAAAAAGAAAACTGTTGGAAGCCATCGAAATCCGCCGTCACAAACCTTTGATCAACCGTGACCAAGGATACTACATCCCATCAGCCTTTGAAGAACTAATCAAACTATAGACCATCAAGAGCACCCTGTCTATTTGTTGTTACTACTTAATTCCCCTGTTTATTGGCTTCATCACTAGTGCTATTTGATGTTTTTAGTCCCCCACTGGCCTCTTCCAATTATGTACCACTTGTTATTTATATTACATCTTGTTGTTAATGTTAATCTGCTGCTTGTCACAACATACCATGTATATATGCTCCTCACCATTTGGTTGTACTCACATTTGGCGTGATAACGATGTAAGAATCTACATCGAAACGTCACTCAACGCAAATAAACCAGAAGTTGTCATCCATAAAGTTGTATGTTTCATTTGTTGACTCAGCAACTTCTAGAATGCCGATCAAACAATTAGGTGTATGATGATTTATTGACATGGAAAAATACGAACATTTACCACTCCCGGAAGATAAGTGTGTCCTCGGACTGCTTCTGGCAATGGCTGAGCGTGCTGAAGTTATCAAAAGAAACCAAGATATGATATTTCTGTCAATGTTATCCGATGCCATTCACGATCAGGCGACTGTTCCGCCTGTCCAAACACGTGATGTTCTTTGAAAGACAGAAAGCCGCTTTAGGAATATTTCAGCAATATCCCGACGGGGTACAGAACTGTTTTTCACACATTGTACCCATGTGGGCAATCGAACCCGGGTCTTCGGTGTGACAAGCGAACGCTTTAACCCCACCACCCCCTCTTAACAAAGAGGTGATACTGGTGATACTCTGCTGGCATATATTGTGCTAGAATTCCTGTGGAGGATTCTCTTGATCCACCATGGTGTATTGTAATGTTGAAGTCTGCTGGGGAGGTTTCTATTGATCCACTAGCTACATTGTGCTGTTGAGGATTCCTGTCAAAGATTATCTTGATCTACTAGCTATATTGTGATGTTTGGGATTCCTGTGTAGGACTTTCTCCATCTACTCACCTATGTTGTGATGTCGCCTGCAGACTAGCTACATTGTGCTGCTGGGGATTCATGTGCAGGGTTCTCTTGATTCACTAGCTATATTGTGCTGTTGGGGATTCCTAGGGTGGAAACTCCTGATCTACTAGCTATAATTGTTCTGTTGGGGATTCAAGCAGAGTATTGTATTAATCTACTTGCTGCATTGTGCTGTTGGGGCGTCCAGTGGAAAGTTCTCTTGATCTACTAGATATATTGTGCTGTTGGGGATTGCTGTGGAGGATTCTATTGATGTACTAGCTATATTGTGCTGTTGGGGATTGCTGTGGAGGATAGTTTCTCGATCTACTAGCTATATTGTGCTTTTGGGGATTTCGTTTGAGGATTCTCTTGATCTACTAGCTATATTGTGTTGTTGGGGATTTTGTTTGAGGATTCTCTTGATCTACTAGCTATATTGTGCCGTTTCGGATTTCGTTTGAGGATTCTCTTGATCTACTAGATATATTGTGCTGCTGGGGATTGCTGTGGAGGATATTTTCTCGATCTACTAGCTATATTGTGCTTTTGGGGATTTCTTTTGAGGATTTTCTTGATCTACTAGCTATATTGTGCTGCTGGGGATTCCTGTGAAAGACTTCCTCGATCTACTTACCTATGTTGTGATGTCGCCTGCAGACAAGAACGGCTATGACGACGACCACGGCAAGCACACAGGCAAAAACTGCGGTAAAAGCTGCACCTTGGTTCAGAGGAGGGGGCGCTTCTGGCAACATGATATATGGCTACAACATTGTACATTTTGTTTCAACAACGGCAGCAACATTGCATGTATCAATGTGCCCTAAAATAAGTGCTTAGTACTCGTACACATTGACCTGAAAAGACCTGACAATTGCTCGACGTCCGTTTTTGTATGGGACTGTATACTTGATCTCCATCATTTATTCTTTTATTCATAGTTAACCACCTCAGTAAATTATTATAAATTAATATCAGCTGGAATGATTCATGGACAGAAACGTTTGTATCAATACTGTTTAGTTGCGGGGAAGATATACAAGTGCCATTTTGCATTGTGCGCCTAAATTATGTGTTGTTTTCAGCATGAAAATAACACTGGTAACCGAAGATGATGATGTTAAGATGCAGCTATTAAATATGAAAGTGCAGGACCACATATGAATAGGATCTTTGATACAAGTCCATATATGCTGCTAGGTATATGGTCCAGACAGCATAATTGATTAAGAATTTTTTCTATTTCAAGTAATTTCATTAACCTGAACATCTTTCAAGTAATCTAGTTAAACACATCTTAGATTAGTAAGATGTCAGCTTGTTCTACTTTGGATGTGATTCCTTAAGATTCCTTACCTGTGCTCAGGACAGCTGGAGATGGTGCAGTTCCTTCTGTTAGATAAAATAATACATGTCGGGTAATGTTAACCATTATCTTGCAATGTTCGAACCGGCCATTAACCAGATTGCTCTCTATTTGTTTACCTCAATGATACAAGTGATAGACAAATGTATGATCTACTCTACATGGCGGGATATGGGATGTATGAGTGATTGAGTGATACAAGTGTTAGACAAATGTATGATCTACTCTACATTGCGGGATATGGGATGTATGAGTGATTGAGTGATACAAGTGATAGACAAATGTATGATCTACTCTACATGGCGGGATATGGGATGTATGAGTGATTGAGTGATACAGGTGATAGACAAATGTATGATCTACTCTACATGGCGGGAGATGGGATGTATGAGTGATTGAGTGATACAGGTGATAGACAAATGTATGATCTACTCTACATGGCGGGATATGGGATGTATGAGTGATTGAGTGATACAAGTGATAGACAAATGTATGATCTACTCTACATGGCGGGAGATGGGATGTATGAGTGATTGAGTGATACAAGTGTTAGACAAATGTATGATCTACTCTACATTGCGGGATATGGGATGTATGAGTGATTGAGTGATACAAGTGATAGACAAATGTATGATCTACTCTACATGGCGGGATATGGGATGTATGACCAGACAACCCAGTGATGAACAGAATGAGCATCGATCTGCGCATTTGGGATACGATGACATGTGTTAACCAAGTCAGCGAGTCTGACCACCCGATCCCGTTCTCTTACAACAAGCAAGGGTTACTGAAGATCAATTCTAACTCGGATCTTCACGGGACCATGACGTATGAAACAGGACATAGTCGAATGAGCATGATACCATTTATTTAGCCTGCTCTTTTATGTTGAATGGATGAATATAAGGAAATCTTACACAGCTTCCGAAATGAGAATAAGCCTCAGAAACATGAATAGTTGTGCATCTCTATGAGGTCCCAACTGCCGTTGTTTTAATATAGATTGAGGGAATGTGAGCGGGCGCTTCACAAACGTTGTGATGACGTCGACATTCCGTGGCTGGTATATTTTATGAGTAAGATCTTAAGGCCTCGTAAGGCCTCTTAATTGCTGAAAAATAAACACAAAAAACACACTGCTAAACAAAGCATAACTTGAATCAGAGCAACGCTTCCTGGGATTATACATGTACGAATACTACAGTGCAATTACTGTAGTCAATTACACTTGCTATGAATGGACAACTGTTAGTATTTTGCATTCGAGATTGCTAATTTACCATTTTCTTCAACAGTAATCGTTCCAGATTGTGTGACAGCACACGCCTTATACTTGGTTACGTTTGACGAGGTCATCACACAGCAGACACACCGATCGTCGTCCTGAAAATACGGGTCCTGTGGGGAGATCTTCAAAAGGAAATACAGGAAAAAAGATTACGATAATGATGGGTATTGATACACACTGACAAACAAACGTGCTTAAAGAACAACTAAAACTACATAACCGGAACTTAATATCGTGCCAGCTTCCATTTACAAGCCAATGTGTGTTGCTGTGTATGCCACTGCCACAATCCCACAACCTATTACACCAAGGCATTTTTAAAAGGTTATGCATAGTTAAATAATATGTTAATGTGACGTCGATGTCTTCATGACGTCATTAATATACACCTTGACGTCACCCTTCCACTGTTGCGTCAATAATGCAAACAAGATACACCAGGTCAATAATTACTATAACTTACTGGAAATACTTTTAGGCGCAAGAATGATAACATATACTGAACAGCAAAAGAAACGCAAGTTTCGAAAAAATGAAATTTTATGAAGGTAAGCGTTCATGTTTATGGAACGTTCATGGTAAAGTGACGTAATGATCCCCGATGAGATGATGTCATGCAATTTGACGTCCATACGAACCATTCGCACAAACATACCAACAGCGCAGCAAAACCATAATTTTAGCACGTGCATCGACGGTTCTGGATGAGAAGCATCATTTCACCCTGAGGTATCCTTTATAAAGGTTTGTGTCACAAAACAGTCCAGTATGAACACGTGAACACGCCACACAAACGATGCCTAGACTAACGACTGAGCAGAGGGGAATGCCCATTGGAAAGTTGCACGGAGGTAGCTCTGCAACCGCTGTAGCTAGACAATTGGGCTGTCATCTTATCACCATTACACGACTTGCTCAACGTCATCAGCAAATTGTGGTTGCTGCTGATCGTCCCCGTACCGGACGGCAACGAGTGACAACTCATGCGCAAGATCGGTTCATCCGGGTCACTCATCTAAGGAACCGAACTCAAGCAGCAACAGTAACAACAGCCTTAGTTCTTGGGTCAAGGGGAGCAGTGTCCAGCGATACGATTAGGCGTCGTCTTCGGGCTGCTGGAATCCACTGCCGAAGGCCATATGTGGGGCCAATTTTGGCACGTCAACAAAGCCAGCGAAGTTTGCAGCCCTCACACAGCAAGGGTGTCGATGGATTATCTGGCACAGAACAACATTAATGTTTTTCCATGGCGTCCCTTTCCCCGGATATAGCTCCCATTGAACATTCTTGGACGAAATTGGGCGGAGGATTGCTGCAGGTAGACAGCCACTCACACTTGCACAATTGGAATAGAAATTGGTGTTTGAGGGAAACCAATTGACTCAGGCATTCTTTCAGACTCTAGTGAACTGAATGATCCCACGTTGCACGGCCTGTGTGCAAGCTCAAGGTGGCTATACGCGCTACTAAAGAGACTGTCACTTTTCGCGTTCAGGAGTATCTCCATTTGACGGACTATGATCTATTTGAACTTACTGCAATTCAATGTCAACAGCAACCTTTAGCTGTTAAATTGACAGTGTTTTCTATAGAATAAATGCTTAGACATAATTTTGGTTGTCTTCTATTCAAAAACATAACAAAAAGCCAGACTTGCGTTTCTTTTGCTGTTCAGTATATTTATTTCATGCATGATCAAATTTATGAGCCAACGCAAGATGTTTCATGATTTTTTTGTCTGAGTCACACATGCTCTCGCTCACCCATATTGTGTAATTCCCTGGTTCAATGTCATAGAACGTGTGGGTCAGGGCAGTGGCGTTCTCAGATGGTTTCTGGTAGTCCTATAAATTCACCAAAAGCCATAATTGATACATGTAGTTGCAGCACAAACAGCTAAACCGGATTGTCTCTTCTTAACGTTAAATAAATAGAAAGTGCTGATTAGATTTAGTCAAATAACTATATTTTAACAAATATTATTATAACTTACGGAGTTTTCTGATTTTTTTGCATTGCAGCGCTAGAACGCGCTCTTTGGAACTTTTTCTTTTCACACTTAAATACTTTACATTTGGACACTGCCCCAAAATAAGAGTGGCATAAAACATGCTTGGACATGACAGGTGGCTTTCAGGGAAGCACAGGTGTGGGGTGTTAGATACAAATTCAAATCGGTGAATTGTCAAATTTGGTTGGAAATGGATGTTTATGTCCATACGCCACGCATAAACCAGCAAGGCGGAACGTTTGTTTCGTTCAGATATATAAACAATATATGTAACTATTTTCACGTGTGTGTTTCTTCTTTGACGATTAGCCCATTTCTGGTATTCCCCGCCGTAATATTGCTGGAATATTGCTAAAAGCGGCGTAAATCCAAACTCACTCACTCACTCTTTAAGGATTATAGTATGACTTACTTTTCCCTGACACGAATACTTCTCCTGAGTGTCAACAACGCACACCGAATATAAGTTACTGTGTCCATGACCTTTATCAAGTCCAATTCTGTATTTCCGGAAATTGTAGTGTTTTGATGCCAAGCTGAATCGCACCACGATGTCTGCCGGCGCTGAGAGATGTTGCCTCTCATACGAGACCGACGAGGTCCACGACCATGTCGAAGTCCCATCTACGACAAACGAAATGCAGTAATTGTCATACATTGTCACGCAAGAGCAGCATGTTCCGTTTATGGTCACTCATCATTTTGACCCATATATATTCTGCAGGTGTCTAAAGGGTTGTACCTGAGTTCTTTCATAAGCGTTTATCACTGATATTTGATTATTGACATTATCGATTACAGTGCAAATGCGTACACACCATGAAATAAACCCCGCCCCTATTATTGTTGGAATATTTCATTTCCAAATGCGGTGTAAAATCATGCTTTATCACTCACTCACTAAAATAAACGTTAAGGTTCTCGCCCAACACCAAGTGTACTCAATTGGGACGACCCCGAAACATGGCCAAACATAGAGCTATAGAGTAAAATTCATATTTATAAAGATTAGCACTAAAATGATGAACATGCATAAAGGTACAATTTAGAAAGGTTGGAACTATTTTTGACAAACTGATACCAATCAATAAGCACGTGACTATAGTCCCATAGCTCCCACTGATTGAGTGTAATAAAGGTAATGTGCTGTCACAAGCGACAGTGAAACCTTTTTTATGCATTTTCCTCTTAGGACCGTAACCGGTTTGTCAAACCAGTACCGATACCTGGTTTCGGTTTGCGCACGATGAGCACGTGCAAGTTGGTTGAAAGCGAGAGTTTCTTCTGTCCGTCATTTTAAAACAGGGATAGCCGTGAGTCAGTCGGCCAGGCAGCCAGGCAGCATCACGCTGAAGTCAGCAATGAAATGTTGCTCCTCTTCATACATAAAACCACAGTGAATCACCAAAGTGTATGTATTCTTTACTTTTTGTATTTATGGCACATTTCATGCTACAGGTATATTCTAAGCATTGTAATGCTATTACCATATATTGTTTTTCCTATTTCATATGGATAAAACCATTACTTTATGAATATACTTTCGTTGTGGAATTTCCTAATATTTATGGAGATTGTTGGTATTTCATTTCTGAATGTTCACCATAGTAATTTGGTCGATATTCATGGGAATTTGATGGTATTTACTTGAAAATTCTTCATGTGTTTTTCATATTAACGTGTGATGAATGTAGGTTTAAAGGAACACTGGCTTGTATAATTTTGTTCATTGGTACATTGCTTTACCATAACAGTTCGAAATACATGTATTCATGGATGGACATGAAAGTTAATGGAAGATGTTTGTTATACATTTTTTGGACTAAATTTCATTGTTTATATGGACTTATGATCCCTTTATCAGGTCGGGGAAAACCTGAAAACGAGCTATAATAGTTAGATCGAGCTATAATAGTTCAAAAGAGCTTTATGCCTTTAGGCCGATCGAGCTATAATAGCACATACATGGAAGAGGCCCTTTAAGAACAACTTTCCGCACCGCGGTCATGGCATTGCTCGACTCGACTGGAATCGTCTTACCCATATTTGAAGCTACTTGCACCACAAACCCGAGCGTTTGTGATATGAGCTGCTAAACTACCTAACCCTATGGACATTTACACTTGGGAGACAAAATAACACACCTGAAAACTGAAAATATACCCCAAAACTTTTGTTTTCCACTACCGTTAGACGAATAAACAAAAAAACTATGCAAGCCCAGTGTGGGACACATTTATCCGTCGCGCGAATTCTGAATCTGTTGCGTATTGATCAATAAATAAGGACTATCCTTGTTTTGTATCGCATTTGGATGTGTTGTGAAATTGTTTAAGTCGTATGGTCATTGCAACTCTTCGGAAGTACTTGTCATTGGTCACATTCACTCATTCCATGCAATATGTTACCCTGGATTGGTTATCACCATAATGTGTGATGCACTGGCATAAGGGTAAATTCTTGCATTCTCCCATTCACAATGGAAACCGAAGCCAAGGCAGTAGTGTTCAACAAATTGAGTGCAGATAGTACTTATATTGCAGAACAACACATTCACAACATGTTCATAAATGTATTGAATGTGTATTCTTTCAACAACACATCCAAATGCGATACAAAACAAGGGTCGTCCTTATTTATTGATCAATAATACATAGTTTAGCAGCTCATATATCACAAACGCTCGGGTTCGTGGTGCAAGTAGCTTCAAATATGGGTAAGACGATTCCAGTCGAGTGGAGCAATGCCATGACCGCGGTGCGGAAAGATGTTCTTAAAGGGCCTCTTCCATGTATGTGCTATTATAGCTCGATCGGCCTAAAGGCATAAAGCTCTTTTGAACTATTATAGCTCGATCTAACTATTATAGCTCGTTTTCAGGTTCTCCCCGACCTGTTTATTTGTTACAGCTTTTTAGCCTATTCCACGTCCATCACTACCAAGACAAATGGACACAAGTCCATAATGTATCATCAACCATATATGTATGTCAGCAATGTATACCACAAATAAAGGTGATGAATTTAAGTGGATTTCGGGTTCGCTATTCAGCATAGGTAATATAATTATAGTTAAAAGCCCGTGAGTAATAATATCAATGTCATCCCAGCCAGCGCTGCTCAGAACATATCTACAACGTGAAGTAAAAGCTAAAACCCTATGCATTTCAGAAAGGTAAAGGGTGAAAGCTGGAATCGCTCTTACTGTTACGATAACCGGTATTAAGTGCGCGGTGTGATATGTTAGACACTAATAAATATGGCTCTCAGTGTTCTCAAAGAGCATGTCTCTTACCTTGAACTTGTGGAAGAGTAAAAAACGCTTTACTGGACTTGGCGTCCGATGTCATCGGTAGGGTAAACATCTCTATTCGATACAAGACGTCTCTTCCACCAGGAAAACCTTGCATTTTCTTTTGGAACTTTAGCTGAAGTTAAGAAATAGTTTTCGAGTTGATAGGGCATTGGTCAACAGAGTGAACTATCACTGACGGCTTCACATAATATGAAACACTATGACGGGACACTGTAAGCTTTCAACAACTAGATATTACATCAGCGTAGCCATAATGATATACTGGCGTGCCATTTCTCTTGCTATTAGGAATTGGATATATTACTGATTGAATCAGCATCAATAATCACACTGAGATCACTACATAGGATGATTCTGATTCTATTACGACACTAATATATCCAAACACACCCGGTGATATTGTGACGTAAACCTGTTGTAGGAGAAGTCAAACACTTCGCACACAAAAACCGCCGATCCAGTTAAAGCAGCGATTTTGAGATAAAATCCTTTGAAGTGTTCAGAACCAGCAGCTGTAAAAGATATAATTATTATTATTTTTGTGAAATACCTAGCAAGGAGTGGATACGACACATACGCACGCACGCGCGCACGCGCGCACACACACGCACATACATTCACATACATCCATACACATATACATACCGCCCGTGTGTGTGAAAACAGTGCATTCACCCTCCGACGAAGGAACAGATGTTTGTTTTTTTCAAATGTGTCAATCTATCATGTTTATGTTATTAAGTGACTTTGTGCTCAAATGTTTGTCTTTTATTGTCAGTGTGTGCGGTAATTGAGAGCACCACGTGAAACAATGTACAATGTGTATGAGAGTGACAAAACGGGTTCAAATCTAGTTGTAGGTAATCGTGTCGGCTCTACAATCCGCCACCTTGTCTAAACAGGATTGTTTCTTCAGCCCCGACAAGTGCCGGTTTACATATGTATCGATGGGGGTTTCATTGTATACCTGAAGAGCCGTTCGACGGCGAAACATCTTGTACAGATAAAGGAGTTTTCACAACAAGAAATATCTGGACTGATCTTTGATATATCTATTGCTTAATCATCTGCAGAAATCACTTTTAGAAATACATGTTATATCGACTGTATGTCGTATAGGGCATGGTTAGCTACATCCACCCTGTCTTAATGTTTAAACCGATAGCTACGTTCATGCAAATCCCGTAAAATATATATCTGCACTGCCCTCTGTGGAAACAACAGTCACCCACTGCAGTAAACAATAACTTAATGTTCGCCATATCTGAGATTGCACGGTCTTTAAGATTAGGAATGGGAACAGCCATGCTCTTTACATATTGCATTATTTTGATCTATATGCTACTGGTAATGAAGCAAGTGGAGGGTATATGTACCAGAAGCAGGGGGTTGCCAGGACAAAACCAATTGCGGGATGAGTGTCCCCGGATACGGCCCTTTGACCAGCGTGCCTTCAATTTTCAGAGACCCTGGATGCAACATAAAGTCCCCTCCGAGATGAGCGTTGGTGAGCAGCTGCAGGTTCCCGCATTCTGGAAGAATTAATGTGTAATGATCTTGACTTTGCTTTGGAAGTATGTCAGTCCTGGAATACCATCCCTCGTTGCTGTAAGTGAACGATAAAGGGGTCACATACTGAACGCTTCTTATGGTGGTGAAACATATACTTATGGTGCCGATAGACCAAGGGTAATTGTCGAGTCTGTCTCAGCCTATCTTACGCACAGCCCCATCACAGCTAAGACAGTACTAGTGGGCTCTTCTATCATCAGCTCGGATTTCTCAATGACGTCATCGAAAATACTGGGGATTGTCTCAACGTCTAAAAATAACGTCTTTCAACATAGGCGCGGATTTCCCAATGACGTCATCGATTATATTGGGGGTTGTCTCAATGTCTAAAAGTAACGTCAGGTTGGGAAAATATACGAAAATTCCTTGAAGGGAGATCATGACATTGTATGCATGACTGGTCACGGGAAGGAGACGTTTATTCAAATCTACAACAAAGAACGTTCAACGTACTAAAAACGAAATTATTATTAGGCCGTATATTGGGAAATCTATCGGCGCTGCTTCACCAGATGATTAACAACTAGTATCTGAAAAGAACATATTTTACACAAAAAAAAGTCCATGGTAAAAGAAATATAATATAATAAAAAGGAGTCTTGAGGCTTTCTCCTGAAGCTGTGGAAATCTAGATTTGCAACAGTTTCTAGACTTGCGTGGGCTTTCTTGGATATGTTTGCTTCAGGCTCTGTATGATAGGCTACTTCATCGGTTATTCACGCTATCAGCAACTCGTCTAGCCTTAGTAGGACACAAACACCCGTCCATAGATCTCGGAATGTTCATTTATTTTTATTTTATTTTTATTTTTAATATATATTTTTTTGGAAATGACATACGTGCGCCCACCTTTCTTCCCTTTCCGTAATTTGCACGAAGGCTTGTGCCCCTATTTTAAGGTTTAAAGTGATATTTCACAGTTCCATGGTACCTGTCGGTGTGTATTACAGCTTAGAGATATTCCTGCATGATGGACTTTGCTCACGTTCGGCTGATGAACAACAAATACATTTGCAATCCTTAAAAAGACATATTTCACTGACGTAAAACTCAGTATTTTTGAATTCGTAACGATAAATCTGTTGATGAATGATACACTTAGGCTCGAAACCCATTCGAAACCGCGTACATCGTGCTTGCACTAATATTATAATAATAGTTGCGCGCTAATAAAGGGCGATGGGCAGTTTAGTGTTTAAAACTCTTGTTTGTCATACAGAAAATCCTGTTTGATTCCAACAATCGATTTGTGAATCCCATTTTGATGTACCCCTCTGTGATATCACTGGGGTAGTGCTACAATCAACTTACACCTCATTCAGCCTACCAAGACGAAGTATTAGAAAGTATATTTACTTTCTGTATGGTAAAAGCACGTCACGCTATATACAACACAGTGCACAGATATCTTTACCCAGTGTTTCATAATAGAATTGTGATTTTAATTGTTGTAATTGTACATAACTGTTTATAAACATCTTATTAAAGAACTTTCTTTTTATCTACAAATTCGTAATATACTTACAATAAGTATGAGGCAGTATTTTTGAGGACCGCCTCTGTAGTGTAGTGGTTAGAGCGTCCGCCCGGAGAGCGGAAGGTCGCGGGTTCGATCCCCGACCGCGTCACACCAAAAGAATGAAAATATGGTACAGGTTGGTCCCTCCCTGGCGCTCGGCATTATGGGTACAACAAGGACAGGTCGGCTCGGAGTCAGTATAATGTGTCTGAGTGGGGTATTCAGGCTTCACAGCGGCGTGGTATCTCAGTGGGCTAGCACTATAAAACCAGCTTCAGTCTGGGCTAGTACGACGTTAAACCCCTTTTGCACGTCACCTCGCCAGTAGTTTTGAGAAGACTGGTATCATTTAGACCTGGAATAACCAAGTACATAATCGGGTCAGTTATGTAAGCGCTGATTCCATACCTTACGGGGATGCTCTTAGCGCATAGAGCATAATAAATATTATTACCCCGGAAAACTGTAGCTACCTGTGAGGCGCTAGAAGGTTAATAGTCATATGAATTATCACACCGGGTTTGGGGGCAGTTTTGAACTCACATGCCAAAGGTGAGACCACATGTGTCATGTGTGCTTGGTTGTGTTCCAGAAGTAGTCACAGAAACTCCCAGGAGACAAGCTGCCAAACACGGCCACACATTCAAAGGCTCTCCGTGAGTACGTTGTTTAACTGATTTGTCACCTGGTTTCTATGCACTAGTCCACACACCACATATATGCAGAGACATCCTTTAGGCCAGGAGCATTAGACATGACATTGGAAAAAAATAGTAGAAAGCTGATTTTTACAGGAAAGCTTCAGAACATCATTGCCATGTACAAGATACAAAGTTGTGCAAATTCTACCTTGTGGCATTTTAAAAATGGCCGCCAATTTCAAGATGGCCGCCAAATTCATTAAAATGATTATGCAAACAGATATTTTGTAAATAATTATGCCATGTGATATATCAAATGAAAGCTCATCTTACAGGGATTCCAAATATATTGTAACTGTCTGTCGTTGGACGACACTTATCCCGTGATCATAGATCACAACACAGCTTGAGATCCAATAGTTTATTCACTGAAACCTTCCGTGGCCTCGGAAAAACATTGAGGATCTAAAAAACATAGCAAATCACACATGTCAACTTGAAACTACAATCAATCGCAAGGAGAATCACACACATCCCGAGGTCACAACTGGCACCGCATCGCATCGCATCGCATCCAATATGTCATGTGCTCGTTTCACTTCCGCCGAAAAGGGACGTAACTCGCACGATCGCACAACCGCATACCACCAACAATTTACCTACATTTACAAATGTATTGATATTGATATCATGCCTTGTGGCATTTTCAAAATGGCCACGAATTTCAAAATGGCCACCATTGTCCTTAAAATAATCAAAATAATCTCACGAAAATATGTCTTTTTATTTAACCATACCTTGTGATATATTAAAGGAAAGCTTCTCACAAGGAGTCTAAATATATTACTTTTAACACCGCACATACATAAGAAAATTAAATTTGGCATGATAACCACACATTTCATGCTTGTGCTTTTGGTACAGGACGTCAAAATGGCTACTCATGGTTGGTTAATCAAGACAGATGGTCACCAAATTGCTGGTAAATCACTTGTACAATTATCAATATCATCATTTTTAGTTAGTAAATTTTGAAACTCACTGTAATCTTCAATCTTTGATTATTGTATCATAAGGTCTTTTTGTCAATCACAACACCTCATTCTTCAATACTGAGTACATTTTGGCAGGTTGGCAATCCTCGACATCCAGTGCAAAGCAATGTGCACTCAATTACTGTTCTTCGACAACTGCACCGTCTCCTGCACTCAAACTTGCATCCACAAGATATTATCTTCAAGACTTTCTCAGGAGCAATTGCTATATCTGTCTCAATATTCACAAGGACCCCATCCTTGAATTGCCATCCCAACTCTGTTGGTGAAAGCTCATTCCCTTGCCATTGGTACACACGGTCGCTGTGGGATTTAGCGGCTGCTGAAGTTGGAGGAAGTGAAACCGGAAGAGGACACAGACTCCATAAATGGACATGAAGTACATGTTGTAGCGATGTTCGTCCAGTGACGTTGAGTCCGCAGCTCCATAGAGTTTAAGCATGAACATCTCTCCAACTTGTGCAATGCCATCATTTGAACTGCCAGATTGAAGGAAAACATATACGCAATCCCAATTGGACCTCTCCTGGAATAGAGCAAGAGCTTTCTTTTTCCCCTGATTGTAGATGACTGATGCTCACAGCCTGTTATTGCATGAACAAACATAAGATGCTGTCATATATTGGGCATGGTTTTCTGTAAAGATCCATGTCATTTGTGGCTTGTGCAATCAACATTACCAACATGTCCGTATCGTTCCCCACGACAACAACAGGTGACTGGTTGTCTCTGGCCTTGTTAATTGCAGTTGAAGCAATCACGCAGTCAGCATCAGCAGGGCTCTGTTGCACAGCTGAATCTTCTCTGGCAAGTCTTCCCTTCAATATGTCATAAAGCGACCCTTTGTTCTTCTTGTTGCTCAGAAAAGGTTTTGATGAAGTTGTTACTTTCATGTCTGGCGCAAAAATGATTTGAGATGATATGCTCGGCTGAGCAGATTTTGTGGAACACGCACTGCCATATCCATCACACACCACTGAAGATGCTGAACCGTAATGTTGAAGCACAAAGGACACATAACTGTCACATATCTGGCTGTATGTAGCATCCGTGGGCCAAGGATAACTTTGTAGCAGGAGGCCACCGTCGATGACATAATGCGCTCCCTTTGGATGGTCATTGTGGACTTGGACTTGTGATTTCAGTTGACTAGGCAGAACACTCTTCGTATTCTTTCGCATCATGCCTTTGTTAAACAAGGCAGGATGTTGCTTGGCAAATTCATGAAGTAGGTGCAACTTCATATCTAACTTATCCTCTATCACACAGGGGACTCACATGAATAGCAGCTCAGAGTTTACTTGGACTGGCTCTCCTCTGATTTTGATTTTTATTTCGTTTCCTCACAGATGCTTATGACCTTTTCTTTGCGCTTCAACTTTATGTCAGCAAACATCTGACCTGTCACTGCTGAAGCTGCCTGCATTCCTATAGAAACTGCTTTCCTATGCAGATGAGCGACTCATGCTCTTCATAGGAGAAAGGAGAATGATCTTTTAGCCAATGGAATAATGTTCCATAGTCCTTGTTGTCTCTCATGATGTTACATAAATGAAGGTAAACATGTTGCTCAGATGTTTGGCCGTGCACTCCTATGAACCTCCCTAAAGCATCACATATTGGTAGGCACTGAGGCATTGGATGGACCCATCTGGCGAGAGTGCTGTCAGTTATACCACGACCACGAGCCATGCCACCACGGATCTTCAGTAGTCGCATCAGATCTTGCTCGATCACTTGGTCAGTTAAGTTGCCACTCCAGAATTTGGCAGTTCTACGGATGGTGAAGTGCCCTTGTTTTGTGTAGGCCTTGAACTGATCTGGTGACATCATGTCCTTCAGGTTTTTCATTTCTTCCAGATACAGACGTGCAGATTTGGCAAGATGACCAACATGGAATAAGGGAATCATCTTGCTGACAGACAGCAGATGTAGATTCCAGTCTCCTGTGCGCTCCGCGCGAATGAACTGCTGAATCAATGACATTTGTTCCTAATAGTCTATCCAAAGTCTACCTGTCCTGCTTATTGATGAGACTTTGATGTCATTCTTCAAATCATCAACAGTTTCAGCTAGCCGTATGATTTTGTCCAGGTTTTGAGAGTCATTGGAGCCAATATCGCATTCGCCACCTAACAAACTACCATGTACGGTACGAAGCTTTTCCACATTCAAAGAATCAAGAACATCTGTTGATTGCAGTAGGATGGACATGATAGCCGCAGATGACAACAGATGACTTCGAAGTGTACGGGCATAAGCATGGCCTGTCAGCATGTGGATTACAGAATTAGGTGCGTAAACCGTCGCCCAAAGATCTTCCAAGCCGCTTCCACCCATCACTTATATAATTGAACCCATGCATGACATGAGTAAATGAAACCGTCCTAATCTAAGGACAACCCTGTTGAGCTGTGGATGTGCCGATTCCACAATTTCTGCTGCTTTAATGTAGAGGGGCTGGTCAAATCCCAAAATGTTGGTTTTTTAGCCAATAACTGTACAAACGCTAGAGCAGAGTAAATGGTGTCGGGCCTTCATGGGTCCTGGTTGACAAATGGCAAAATCTGAATTTTGCTTCTTTCGTTGTTGTCTCCAGTTACAGTTGACTGCATAAATCTGCTCCATGATGGACGTTGTGAGAGTGGAACATCAAGTGAAAAACTTGCTAGCCATAGATTGTCCAAAGGTTTTGTCAAGCAAAGAATTGGCACAGTTGGTTTGGGCATTTCAATTGGTCCAATCTTGACAGACTGTAGGCCTGATGTAGAAGGTTTGTGGTATACCTTGACAGGGATCTTTGCGCCCTCAGTGGATATATATTTGACGTCTGGTACCAAAAGCACAAGCATAAAATGTGTGGTTACCATGCAATACTTAATTGTCTTATGTATGTCCGGTGTTAGAGGTAATATGTGTAGAGTCCTTGTGAGAAGGGCTTTCTTTAAATATATCACAAGGTATGGTTAAATAAAAAGAAATATTTTCGTGAGATTATTTTGATTATTTTAAGGACAATGGTGGCCATTTTGTAATTGGCGGCCATTTTGAAAATGCCACAAGGTAGAATTTGCACAACTTTGTATCTTGTCCATAGCAATGATGTTCTGAAGCTTTCCTGAAAAATTCAGCTTCTACTATTTTTTCCCAATGTTACCTATTGTTTGTGTCTAATGCTCCTGGCTTACTTCTACTCACCAAACTCACTGCTTCCCTGGAAGGACACACATGTCAATGGATCCATCTGAAACGTATGTTAACTATTAGAACAAATATATAGCTTGCATGGGTGAACATTCTTAGTTAGTGCATGGCTTATAAATGATTTAATTTTAAGACACAATGTCAATATCCATACTCTGTGATGTACTCTGTGATAAAGGAACTAGATGCAAGAGCATATTTTGGATGTTAGGCAGCTGGTGAATGCTGTTCTGTAATCGTCCAAGTCAGATATGTAATGTGAAGAATAAAGTGCTCCTGTCATCGCTTATACAGCTATAACTCAGCGAGAGGTGCCGAAAATGTCCAATGTATCTCAGTCTTGGATTTACAGAGTGATTTCTGCAGAAATAAATGTTGATGATTACTCCGCCGAGTGCCGTAGGTCAGCAACAAAAGTCAAGGTTCAAGTAGATGAAAAGACACTTAGGCTCCAGCTCAAACAGCTGACGGAAACCGTTTGCTGTTTCCCCCACCATAGCTTCATTATTCTGTATGATTGGGGAAACTGGAATCTCCAATTAAAGAAATAGAGGAATAAAGGAACACACGAAAGTGCAAGTGTTCCTATATATTTTCCAGGTTTCTTGTCATGCTTTATATTGCACTGTGGGTGAAAATCTGGAAATCAATAAAGGAACACTTGTACTTTCATGTATATGTATTTCTTTATTCGTTTACATGAGTATACCTGTCCAGGCCGTTATCGAGGATCGACATAATGCAACATTAGCGTGTAGGTGTTTGTGACTACTGGAGCGCGAGTGTGTATTGTCCGTAGAGGGATGATGGGACGAGACAGTACCATACAGGCGCCAATAGTTCTACATGACAGCCGAGCTTTGGCCTTAATTAACTTCCTCCAAGGAAAACATGATCAAACTGCAATGATCCACAATAGGTTAAACTGCAATGATCCACAATAGGTTAAACTGCATCAAATCAGAATCCGTATTTTAACAAGCACTTGTCGCCCCGAACCTTCTGTGCAGACTGAATGATCTCACAGCTGTGATTGGGTGATTTTGTGTAAGATTTTTGTGTTCCTTAAATGTACATCCATCCAGTAATTAAAACCGATCATACTTTTTAATATTTGGTGCGGTCGTTTTTTTACTGATGATTTACACTGAATGTGACCACAGGTATTTTCAAACAGTTGACAGTTTGTGCGGAATGGGGATGGTCTGTTTAACTTCCTGTACTAGAAAAGGAACAGCCTGAAGAGTTCATATTTTATATTTCTATTTTTTTCTAAGGCCAGACAAAACTATAACGTTACTATAGCGGCCAATGGGGAAAACAACGCAAAGAACTATCTCGTGAACTTGAAATTTCTTCAGAAACTGATATTAATACCTGCTTTAAATCTGTGCGTAAGCTGAGACGCCCGCGGTCAACAGTTGACCAATTAGTGTTTAACAATACCCACGCGGACACACCAGAGGCCATATGTAACCTGTGGGGTGCTTACTATGCTAACCTCGCCATACCACATCATGCTGAAACTTTTGATGATGAATTTAAATCATCTGTGGATATCAAACTGGCATATATAATTTCACAACCTGTTGATTCTACTGCTGCTGACGCTGTACTATATGCCGATATCCAGCCGCCATTAGAGTTAAAACAACATCTGGTTAATCTAAAGCGTAACAAATCTCATGGACCAGATCACGTAAACAATGAACATCTTATCTATGGAGGTGACGTGCTGGTCGATAAGCTCTGCGTCTTATATAACGCAATTATGAAAGCGGTGTACTTTCCCAATATCTTTAGACTGGGTATGATTGTTCCACTTTATAAAGGAAAAGGTGCAAAATGTTATCCCCAAAACTACAGAGGTATCACCCTAACCTCCTGTATAGGGAAACTATTTGAAAAACTATTACTGTCACGTCTACAATGTTATATAAGCCATATTAATCCTCACTTTCCAGACCCTCTACAGTTTGGATTTAGAAAAGAACATGGTGCAATTATGTCGACGTTTATGGTCAATGATTGCGTAACATTTTATGCTGAGCGTGGCTCCCAAGTCTTCTCAGCTTCTCTCGATGATGAGAAAGCTTTTGATCGCATCTGGCATGGCGGTCTATTCTTAAAACTGTACAATTTGGGTATAACGAGTAAACTGTGGAATCTGCTATATCACAGCTACACCTGCAGCTCTTCTTTTGTAATGTACAAGGGAAATAGCTCAGGCACATTTGAAGTAAAACAAGGTGTAGGGCAAGGTAGAGTCTTGTCTGCATGGTTCTTCCTTGTCTTCATAAACGATTTACTAACTGACTTAAGACTTAGTAACAATGGTATATGTGTATATGGTATTGATGTACCATCAGTCCTGTTAGCCGATGATACGACACTGTTAAGTACCACTCCGTCCTGGCTGCAGAATTCACTTCATATTGTTTCAGAATATGCTTCCAGATGGCGCCTAACATACAATGCATCGAAAAGCACTGTTGTAGTTTTTCGGAAAGGGAAACAATCTTGTCCTGAGCTCTCATTCTCCTTTTGCGACACCTCTATTAATGTAAGTCCATCAGTAAAATCTGGTGGTATTCTACTCTTATCAGATCAGAGTTTTCGCTAACTGTCAACAGGCCAGGCAAACCATAAATTCTTTGCGCTCACTGGGTCTTAACAGTACTGACTTACATCCAGTTGCATGTGTTAATATATGGAAAAGAATGGTTTTACCTACAAGGTTCTATGGTTGTGAAACCATGCCTACGCTATATGGCAAAAACATTGATCTAGTAGAAAATACCCAACGATATTTCGCTAATATTTCGTATTCAAGGGTTCAACAGACGTATGCCAACAGATTCTGTATGTGCCAACCTAGGTCTCTGGACAATGGTTGGGTACATTGACAAGTGTATATTATTATTCCTTGGAAGATTATGTAATAACGCTTGTAATTCATCAACGAAAACACTGTTCTGTGCATTTTTAGCACTGACTGTTCACTTAAATATTAGCTCACGCAGTATTTGCAACACGCTGTTATGTACAGCACGGAAGTATAATCTACTGGACTATGTATTAACCTACGTGCAAACTGGTATTTTTCCGTCAAAGACAGTTTGGCGCAGAATAGTTATAAGTTGTATCTTCTCTTATGAAGAAGCTCAATGGAAATTGAGACTCTCCATTAGAGAGGATATGTCCAGATATGCTGTAATCCATCAAACACTGAGTCTACATAGACTTTACACTCTAATGTATCTGTACCCAGAATATAAAGACCATATACAACTTGCTGTACTAGTCGGTTCTAAAGCCAAATTCTCAAAAGAATGTATGCTTTGTAATAAGTACTGCTATGACTACGATGCCCACATCATTTTGCACTGTGAATCTGTAATGAGCCAAATAAATAACTTTTATATGACGCTACTTGACCTACTGGACGTAGAATTATATGTATTAATTGAAATGCTTGATGATGAAGATGCCCTTGTACTGTTTTGTGGTGCAAAACTTCACATCCCTGGCCTTCATGAAACAGCATGGCAAACCATCATACTACATTTTTCGAACTATATCTATTCTTTAAAGGATTCCTTGATGTATACTTTCTGAACTATTATTGTTGTAAATAACCGTGCTTTGTACATATCATATGTAGATATATGTAACTGACTGATGCTTGTTTATGTAATCTTCGAATATAGTTTTGGAGGAAATAAAGACATTCATTCATTAATTCATTCATTCATAGAGCAAAACCAGCAGTTAGAATTTCACAATGCTAGAATATATTTTTCTTGATCATAAATAACAGTTTCAGATACTATACTGAAAGTCATTAATTGGTATTTGTTGTCCTGAAACTTACAAAAGTTCTATTAAAGATTTTTTCCTGCGATACAGAAAATGTGATAAACGGCTGTTATTCTGGCTCATTACGAGTTCGAGTCCCGGAGCATTCCTCCCTCATGAACTTTCATACTTAAAACTGAACCTTTGACATTTCTCGTAAACACAACCACATTTACGAAACACGTTGTGCACATGCATTACCTGCACCCAGGCCCTGTAAAAGCACAAGGAATTGTGGAACTCAATCACTTTGAGAAAATGCCACACTTGACACAAGACGAAAGGAATCTGGTTATCGGTATGGTCAGCCAAGGTGCTTCAGATGTGATGATTGCCAGGCACTTTAATGTGCATCCATCCACTGTAAGTCGACTCAGACAACGTTTTCGGGCTACCGGAAGTGTTGCTGATCGTTCGCGACCTGGTGCACCACCTGTGATAACAGCTCGACAAAACCGCAATATCCGAGTTTCACACTTGCGAAATCGGTTCCAAACAGCTAATGATTAGGCAAGGAGGACAACTGGGACAAGTCAACGTCATTTCAGCGCCCAAAAGGTGCAAGGACACCTTGCTGCCTTCAATATCCGGTGTCGTCACCCTTACCGTGGTCCAACCTTATTGCATCGCCACAGACTTGCCAGACAGCGATGGGCAGCGAATGGGGCCAATCTTGGCAACAGGACATTGCCAGATGTCATTTTTTCAGATGAATCCAGGTTTAACTTATCCTTTGCAGATGGACGTCAACAGATTTATCGACGTAAAGGAGAAAGACGTGCGCCAAACTGTGTCCTTGAACATGATCGTTTTGGAGGGGGGGGGTGTCATGATCAGACCACAGACCATCAGAGGCTGCAGGCCATCCAACAGCTGTTCCTGAGAAATGTGTGTCTTTCAATGCCCCAAAGACTGCGAGCATGTCTTGCAGCTCACGGTGGACACACACGATATTGACTGCAAGTGACCCCTCCTTTGTGTGATGTCGTTGTTGCGTCACTGATGTTGTTGTTGACTGGACATTTTCAGATGAAATTATTCAGATGTTCACTTAAAACATATCTGCCAGTTAGGTTTATATATGTTGAAATTAGTGTGAGTACAGAAAGTATGAATGTCAAATTGCATTTTTAATGGCTTTCAGTATATGTTCTCCGATCACTGCATTAGAATTCATCTCGAAAATCACGGGTAGATCGTTGGGGACGTGTGCACAGCTGATTGCTATTTCCGGTTCTGTATACGAGACAAATGCACACGGTAATCTTAAAGGGCCACTGATCCAGAGCGATTATTGTTTCCAGCCAACAGTCTAATTACGAAACCTAGCTGCAAACTGGTCAGTCCCTGCTCCCTCGACCGTGACGGACACGGGGACTGGGCTACTGTCCACCTTGGCAGAATTTCTTCAACCTAATCAGTGGGGCATTAGGAAGGGTGGATGCCCATCAGATGCCGTTATTTGAAAGTATCCCCGGTAGTTCTTGTCTGATTGTAATAAAGTATCCCAGCAGTGTAGGTTTTTTCAGATTTTCAGATGTTTGGATGGTATAGTGACTGATCCAATTTGATCCTATTTCTGTGTTTTTTGCCTCAATATTTAATCAGGTAAAATATGATGTCTATTACGTATGCTATGATATCGAAAACACACATTTGATATATTTGAATCCATAAACTAAACAACCCCACTTTGCCATTGCAAAATAAATCTGAAATTTTACTTAGGGACATATGTGGCAGACACCAGTTCTGAATAGTTTGTTGTGAATAGTTTTATCTAATTCAGGTGTTTTATGTTCTAGTATTTTAAAGTTGTTAGGACAGTAGTTTTCAACTTCTCCTTACTATGCTTTTGGAGCAGTCTATAAAGGTAAAGGGGTTTTAGCTTAGTCCATGTTTAAGTCAATGTCTCCTCTTTGTTCTAACCCAAGCCTTGTTTTCATTGGTCAGTTTAAACTGTGCACTTTCTCATCCATCTTGCACTTGACAAGACACTGATTACAGACTGGTCTGATATTTGACAAATCGGAACAGACAGTTTTCATTGTTTAAGGTTAGTATTATATATTATTGCTAGCTATTACATATGCATATAATATAGGTAGTCTAAGCTATGTTTATCATATTTCAACACCTTTCATATTTTTTCATGTCATCATAGTCATTAAATCAGTAGGGCTAAATATTCTGATATGTTCTAATCTTTCTGTGTGAATGTTTAGTGAGTGAATGCCTTATCTTTATTAATGTGTTATAATTATTTGCAATGTGAAACACTTCTCTCAGTGTTCAGCCATTTCATGTGTTTTACGTCTCCAGAGTGATACTTTTCATGCATTGGGTTTCATTGTATATCTGGTGGCTATATACTTGCATTCATGTGTTACTGTATAGGTTAACACTGTCACTTTACCATTGAGGCAGCTGCCCAGGAGAATTAACAACCCAGTGTCACCCACAGGGTACGGATAATTTAAATATTAATTATTATTCTCTGTGTATATTGTAAATCACTGATTGCCATGTAATGTACTTTATAACAATGATCCATGTTCATTGTATACCTCATGTATAGTACCCATACATAGAGTTATCGCCCTTGATGAATTCTTTACGTAATCAAGACAATGATTTTATGCCTCATTAACAAAGATATTTATATGCGAATGTGAATGTGTACTTGTAAGTTACTCGCATGTGAAAGATGCATGATGTTTTTATGATATTACCTTATGTTATTGTTTTGTGTATTGCAGGGTGTCGTTACCTCTCTAACTGCAAATAAAACCTCACACCCGTAGCCTGTGTTTGGACGTCATTCTGACCCACCACAACCCGGTTACACATAGGTATACAGTTTTTAACTAAGTACACAGCAAATGCTTTTATATATTTCTTAGGTAACAATGAAGTTCTGTTCGTGTCCTCAAAACAGTGTCTGCCCATAGTTTTTTGTGTTTTTTTCAGGCAATCAAACTTGCATACAATACAGCGATTACTACTCTCTTGCTGTAACACTTGTTTGGTGGTAAGCCTACACATGTTATTTGTAATCATTTATAACAGGTATAATTAGTGATAACACCACTCAGATTACCTGACAAAGGTTCCCATTTGGCATTTCTTGTGTCTGGAGTAAATACTCATCATTATAAATTGAGGTCTGATGTGGCAAATGTATTACATCTTATGTAATATATGCATGGAAGTGCAGTAAGATGAATTATCAGCTGAGTTACAAACAAACATCGATCAAAGGATTAACCGATAACACGCTGATTGATTAATTGCTATTGCTAACTAAATTACTTTTTTAGAGAATGGCGGACATCATGCAATTAGTTGCCAGGTGTATTATCTTTGGTGACCAATGGGACTATACACCAATGTGAAAAACCTGAAACGATAGATCACTTTTTCGCATATTAGACACATGAAACATGACATGACATGGAACAGGATACTTTGTCAGCTGCAGATGGATGCCATCTCATTTTTGTATGTGGATATTGATGGATACATTCAATATTACAAGGTAATAGCCTGATATTGTTGCTATAACTTTAGTCTGTTTTAATATTTGCATTTTGTTTTTATTTATTTGCTATGGCATTCAGCAAAATCTCTTTTCTTTTGCCGTGAAGTGTAATGAGACAGACAACATACACTAGGTCACGCTCAGGGTGTGTGTGTGTGTGTGAAATATGATACACGTTGGCAACCTATAACATGTCTAGATATTACAATCATGTTATAAATTCACTAGGCATAAACAGATCGTGTGCATTTTATTAAGTTTCAAAATGCATACAAATATGATAATAAACTAATTATAAGACAAAATATAAAGACGTACATTGACTTCGTTATTTCAGTCCTAACATGTTTTACCCCTGACAGATGGATAAACTTAAAATGTTTTCATTTGTTATCACAATAATGCCATTTAATACAACATTCAGATTGACTAGTGGTGAACCCAAGCTCACTACTCTCCCCAAGACTCCACATGTATTATTGTATCAGGCTTCTCACCAAATTCAAGGTCAAACTATTTCTTAAATCAAATTCTACATCCATTTACGTTAACATTTTTATAAAGTCAACATTACTATGAAATCAAAATTTTACATCAAAATCAGCATTTTTATCAAAGTGAATATTCTTTTATAAGACACCAAATTATTCATCAAAGTCTACATAAGTTTACAACAAAATCAACATAAGATTATCTAGTAAAAAGATTTCATCTTTGTTGATCAGTCAATACTTATACTATCAATTGCGCATGAGGGTGGCGCAGCAGAGGTAACGAACCAGTCATGAATTCTGGGATATCATCCGGGTACTCACTGGAGAAAAACAATAGCAAAATCAACTATCAGTCCACGGAAAAATTGCTCCGGATCAATGGCCCTTTAATCGCTGCATATGATATACAATGCCAACTAACCCAAATTAGAACTGAAATGTTAAACAATCTGGGGCGGTGGGGTAGCCTAGTGGTTAAAACATTGGCTCGCCACGCCGAAGGCCCGGGTTCGAATCCCCACATGGGTACAATATGTGAAGCCCATTTCTGGTGTCCCCCGCCGTGATATTGCTGGAATATTGCTAAAAGCGGCGTAAAAACCTAACTATGTCAGTCAGTCAGTTAAACAATCTTGTCAAATGATGTTTAATTGCAAATTTTCTGTCTTTACTGACAAAGTCGTCTTCTCTTGTTTGTTCACGCAAAGTGATAAGTGATGTTTTCTTACCCCCTGAAAAAGAGTTTCACGAAAGTAAAACCCGTAGATAAGCCGATCCCCTTCTACAGACTGCTTTTTTGGTCCTTAAAATTCGGCTTATCTACGGTAATGTATGGTGTCTAGAAAGTTTGACAGCAACCCGACGTGAAACAATCTATCGTAATAGTCCACAGTAAACATTCAACAAGGCTCTGTTGTAAGGATTTACCTACCTTTAGTCAATATGTGATCCCTCTGCTTGGTGTCCGATCCCTCCCCGCTCTTTTGTAACAGTTAAGGGGATGTCCCCCTCAATCCCAAATTCCTGGTTGCAACACTGCGTTAAATGGCCTTCTCCTGGAGTGTTCACTATTTCTCGTAATGTTGAGGAAGATAAAGTTAAAAACGTTTTGTGTAATGAACTACATATGAGTGAGACCGAGGTACGTAACACTCACATAGAGCGCGCTCACAGGTTGCCTACGAAGAGAAAACCACGTCCTCATAGTATTGTTTTCATCGTACAAAGACGGGGATTGTGTATATCAAGCTGCCAGAGATAAGTTACGTGGTAACAAAACATTCAGAGTGTCACCTGACTGTACACAGGGAGTGAGAGACACACGGAGAAGGCTAGGAGCGTTTGTAACACACTATATGGACAATGGCGACGATTGTTACATATCTTATAACAAACTGATACTAAATGGCGATATTTATGCTTATGATTGGGGTAAAACGTCCATCGTCAAGACCTCTGGGTCCGGGGACACGTCGCCACGTCGCCACGTAGCAGACGACAAGTCAACTCCGACGACCCGGATGCCCGAAGTGACAGTGTCCATGAGACCTAGAGGTGCGGCCGAGGACAGTCTATTGAACAAATACAGATAAGTAAAATATCAGACTCCGACTTTTTAGAATCTATACTGGACCGCATGTGAAAAACAGTTTGTTAATGTTCAGGTTCTGTTTGGTGATTTCTCTTGGATATTGTACATCGCCAAAACGCAGCAATCGTATTGGCCGTGGGATGTGGTTGCAGAAGTTTGTCATGAAAATCATGATGCGCATTATGTCACGGACACATAGGGGTATAAAACTGCCCTCAAATCAGTTTGAAATCACTCCCGATAAACGCCCACCAAGAATGCCAAGGTTAACGACGCAACAGAGGGAACAAACCATCGGCCGTCTTGAAGCTGGACAGAGTGTTGCAGATGTTGCCAATGCATTCCATGTGCAAATAACGACCACTTACCGTCTTCAGGAACGTTTTGCTGCTACACAGACCACTGCTGACCGCCAACGTCCTGGACGTCCGAGAGTCACAACACCACGGCAAGATCGACACATTCAACGTTCGCACATCGGGGATCGATTCTTATCTGCCATCGAGAGTGCCCGACAGACTATTGGACATCACAACCGAGCAATAAGCGGAGGTACAGTTCGGCGCAGACTCAGAGCAGTCCACCTCCGTTGTCGTCGTCCAGCTCGACGTCCTATCCTCACACCGAGAATCGTCTGCAGTGGGCTACGTTGCATCGAAACTGGCGTCATCAACAGTGGAGACTGGTATTGTCCTCTGATGAAAGTCGGTTTTGCATTTCTCATGCTGACGGCCGAGTTCGAATATGGCGAAGACGAGGTGAACGCTTTGCTGACGTATGTGTAATTGAAGATGATGCATGGGGAGGTCCAAGCGTTATGGTATGGGCAGAGATTGGCCTGAATCAGAGATAAGGGCCAGTATTCTTCCAGAATATTGGGATAGGTCGGGGAAATGGAGTCACTGCCCAACGTTATATCGACCAGATCCTCCGACCCCAGGTTGTGCCATTTTTCGTCCGACACCAGCAGCAAGATAATGCCAGGCCCCACACTGCTAGAGTCACTCAGGCATTTTTCCAGCAGCATAACATCCGACTACTGCCATGGCCTGCTGTCAGTCCCGAATTAAACCCGATCGAATATTTTTGGGACGAGATGCAGTGACGACTGATTGAAGTCCGACCACGTCCGACAACTGCAGCAGAACTCCAGGCAGCCATCATCCGGACATGTGCGGCAATCCCTTGGGCCATTTTCAACCGTCTGATTCACTCCATGTTCAGGCGGTGCACAGCTGTAGTGAATGCACGAGGTTGACATACGCGCTACTGACTTGTTGGATCAATTTCGATTTTGTCTTCAATGCAAAGTAAACCAACAATGTTTCCATGCATTGACTGACATGTCCCAGTCATCATGCAACAAGTGCAAGATTGTTATTATGTACCTGTTTTCATGTATTATCTGTCAAAAGTAAAGTTTTTCAAAATCTGGATTTTGACTTGCGTTTCTTTTGCGGTTCAGTATATTAAGTTGCTTACATAGAATATTGACAGACTTTATTCTAAAATCCGGTCAGAAATGAATAATCTGATACATTTGTGCACAAAGTATAATATCATTTGTTTGATAGGAACTTGGGGCAAGAACATATCGTGCGTGGGGAAATGAACGCACGAACTGGTAGTGAGCAATATTTCATACAAAACGATGACACGTCGTATTTGCCACTTGACAAATTTGAATATGACAATGATGGTTTTGATATTTTACGATCTTGTAAAAATGTTGTGATAGATGATGAAGGGAAACAATTACTATCAAAATGTCGCAAGTTAAATATGCATATCCTGGATGGGAGGGCAGGAAATGATAGATGAGGGGATTTCACGTTTACTCAAATTGTATTTCTATGAGCATTTGAATAAGGACATAGATAAAGCCATACACACATTCAATGAATTATTTAGTGAGTGTTTTAACGCTGTGAACTAATATAGTTCAAAGCATAACACTGACTGAGTTTAGTTTTACGCCGCTTTTAGCAATATTCCAGCAATATCACGGCGGGGGACACCAGAAATGGGCTTAACACATTGTGCCCATGTGGGGAATCGAACCCGGGCCTTCGGCGTGACGAGCCAACGCTTTAACCACTAGGCTACCCCACCGCCCCCAAAGCATAACAAAGTAGACAGGCTGAATATCAACAACACACAATACACACCTCAACCCAAGTGGTTCGATCGGGAATGAGAACAACTTAAACGATATAAGTATAAGCTTTTGAATAAATGTAGGAAAACAAATAACATTGTGCATTGTAGAAAATACCTTGAAGTTAAAAAACGGTTTCAGAAATTGTGTAGTGAAAAGAAAGCTGAATATGATAAAGATATACTTGATGACATCATTGATGCAGCGAACGATAAGAATTGTACACGATTTTGGAGAGTAATCAAAAGATATTGCTATCGATAATGTTTGCTCACAAGTTATTTCACCTGAGACACGGCATGAATATTTTCAACAACTTCTAAACCCTGATAACGCAAATAATGACATTGCTGAATATTTTATCTCTTATTTCATGTCAAGTCACAATATGGACGATTGTGAATTTTGTAATAAGAGTGATATTGAAATTGCCAGCTGTATAAGTGATCAGGAAATTATTAATGCTATTAAAAAGTTCAAATGTGGAAAGGCACCGGGGCAGGATGGTATACCCGCAGAGTCAATTAAGGAGGTTTCTATGGTTTTGTTGCCTTTGTTAAATAGACTATTTAACCAAATCCTTAAGACGGGACGTCTTCTTGGAACTTAGGATTAATAGTCGGGCACTTTCCCAACAAGCAGAAAAGGCACTCTACCCAATTAAACGTTTTATCAACAAAATACAAAATCTGCCAATTGAGGCAGCATTCAAACTGTTTAATGGCAAGATTAAGCCTATACACTTAAATGGGGCTGAGCTTTGGAGATGGGAAAAACGTAAACAAATTGAAAAGGTTCATTCAAGTTTTTGTAAATATGTATTACAGATTGGTTCTAGGGCATCATGTAAAGACGCACTGGCAGAATGCGGTCGTTATCCTATTGAAATATGTGCCTATATTAGCCTCCTGTCGTCTTGGATGAGGATTTTACGGCAACCGCCACACAGATATACAAAGAAATGTAATGAAATGTTAAAAAGACTAGATGATAATGGGGATGAGAACTGGGTATCAAAAGTGAGAATGCTATTATTTAGATACGGTTTCGGCTATGTATGGATAGCACAAGATGTTGGTAGCAAGAAATGTTTTCTGGAGAATTTTAAACAACGTTGCAAAGACATTTATTATGTGGCATGAATATATAGCTTATTCTGAATCCTTGACGTTCTATTCCACCATAAAGACAGACTATTTTCTTGAAAAATATCTTGTAACTATTACTTCAAACGATTTACGGAGATGTTTGACAAAACTTCGTTGTAATGTACATGATTTTAATGTTAATTCGTATAGATACTCCAAAAACTATAAAATGCGTTTTGTAGTTCCTGTGTGACTGAACTAGATGATGAATTCCATATTACATAAGTATGTCTTCTTTACAATGAGTATCGTGCTAAATATTTACCTGAACACTGTCGTAATTACCCTCATGTCCAAATGTTTATTGAATTGATGAGAACAAGCGATAAGAATAGACTATTAAGACTTTGTATCTTTCTTAAAAAGGTGTTTGTGCTTAGATCGAAACAAAAATCTCTGAACACTTAATCGTATAACTTGTAATCAGATCTACATTCTCAGTGTGGCGCATATGCATATCTTTACCTTACTGTTTTACACATGTTGTACTGTTGGCCTCATAGCCATATATACGTAATAAAGGATGATGTAATGTTGAGGTGGAAGTTTTGTCCCAAGCCCTAATTTGATAAACGGTTTATTTGGCCATGTGAACAACATTAAATGAAAATATTAAGTTAGGTTATTTTTTTTTTTAAATCACTGAGGCTAACCATGCATGTTCCGGTTATCGGTCTCGCTAATCGCCTCTCACGATACGCAGGTTTTACTGGAGCGCAAATCGAACCCGACGAGCTGGATTTGGTTGTTGAATAACAGTTCTAACTCGGATGTTCACGGACGCAAGGTCATCCACTGTATCTTCCGTCTTTTCACAATGTCAAAAAATGTTATGACTTTCAGACATTTTTCTAAAATTTGATGTACGAGAATCCGGTTTGCAAACGTCCGGTTATCGAATAAATAGTATCTGAAAAGTGATGATGA